ATTAGTTGTGTATGTTTTATATGCACAGGAATATTATTTCTAACACCACATGACTCCCTGAGCACTGCTGGGTAGAGAGTATCCCTAGAGATCACCAAGCACTGCTGTGCCTAATATTACAGAGACAGCTGGGATTTGAGCACTGAAATGTCTGGCCTGCTTAGTCAAGTATCTCAGAAAGTGACCACCAGAGTCTCTAAAGGCTGGTGCTGCATCTCCAGAAGGGACATAAGAAGGACACTTGCATCTAAGTCTCAGAGACGAGGGAGAAAGAAGGCAATGAGAGGTGTGTGGTATGCAGAAGCATTTTTGACTACAGAAAGTGTTTTCTGGTGATAGGTGTGGTGCTGTACTTCCATGTCAACCATTATTTGATAGCACTGTAAGCCAAAAAAACTAAAACGATAATTAAATAATCAATAAAAAAATAATGAGTCAGATTGACCGTACATGGGATAGGGCATTTGACTTGCAGACAGCTGAACAGATTCCCATATGCCGAGCCTGAGCCTGCCAGGAGTGATCCCTGAGTGTAGAGCCAGGAATAAGCACTGACCACCTCTAGGTGTAGCCCCCCCAAAACCAAAAATAAATATATAAATAGCTTTTTATTAAAAGCTTCCCCTGCCAGTAGAGCTTTTCCTGACTCTAGGTGTTCATTCACTTGCATATCACCAAAGGTTGGAATGAGTTTACATTTGCTTAGCTAGGAATAAGCTAAATCATTCAATTGCTCCACCCTTTCTTAACTTGAAATACTGGAGATTACCTGAAGAATTTTCCTTCAGGCTCTTTTTCTGTTCCAAGAAGGATCAAAGATGGTGCCATACAGCAAGTTTCTAAAAAATCATAGAGGTGTATCCTGACACTGGTTAAGACCTCTGAATATTTTGCTTCTAAATAATTTCTTGCATCCCATATAAGATCAAGTATAGTAAAAAATGTGTAACAGGAATATATTTCTAAGCAAAATTTCTCTCTACACATAAGCTTGTTCTCTGTGTATTGGAGATTCAGCATGACACCCTACCCTATCCCCCAGATAAAGGTCCAACGTTGCAGAAATAATTAAAATAACAGAAAATATTTTCTTCAATAAACAGTTTTTCTTTGCCCATTTACGGTGTTCAAATAGTTTTCTCCTTGTATATATGTTCATATGTTTATTTTTTCTATGATAAGGGAACTTTTTTTCTGAGAGAAGAATACACAGAGACCACTTTTATCTTCACCAAAAATTTACCTCATTTATTTATTGAATGGAAAATAATTATTAAAGTAGTTGCATGACCATGTTTAAATTATTATATAAATATTATTTTATTATAAATAACATTAACGTTTCATCATACATTTTAAGCTAATAAAATGTAAAATAGTCCTAAGCCATCGATTAATTTGTAAAGCAGCACAAAAGATTTCATGCAATGATCCCTCAGGTTCCTTTCCTATCCCGTTCTCTTAAATGCTTTGAAGACTGCTGGAACCTTCAGGTCTCAGCAATTTCTGAATTCCCGTACTTCGTGCTACCACCCTAAGCCACTTCCTTCCCCGTGCTTCCTGGTTCTGCCAGCTGTTGAAATATCAGAGCCTGCCTCTGTGTGCACATACATCAAACATTCTATATCTTAACTGCCTGGAAAGTCAGTGATTAACACATTCAAATCAAATCCTTGACCTTTGCTTTTTTCATTGCCAGAAGATTGCCTCGCAGAACTTCCTTTGCCCTGGATCAAGGACCACCCTGATTCCAGACTTCCTTTCAGCAACAGTTCCTTTCAGCAACTTATTGTGAAAACAGAAAAGGGGGATTCAATTGTAAGGTCAAACTTGCTTTTATAAATCTTTTTTCTTGCAGCTTCTGTTCCAGCTTCAAAGTTTTGGGTAAGATTTCTTCTCCACACATAACTTTTAGTCCTTCTCTGTGTACAGGCAGTCCCTTGAGTGAATGCTGTTTTAAACGTATTTGTGATTTGAATGTTTCCCCCTCATTTCAATTTTCTCACAGGAAATTTGGTGTAGCTTATGCTCTGCAGAACCTAGTCAGCTTTCAATGATCATTTTTATACCTGTGTTCACTGGGACTCATCTGAGATATGCTGGAGTTGGGTATCTTCTCATTAAACTGTTACTTTATTTCAGGGAAAAGGAAATCAATGTCAGGTAGTCCCCTCTACTTTTGTCTTCACTCCAGCCCTGCAGGTACATCCACGTCCCTGTGTACATGTGCATTATGGTAAGGGACACTCCAGAATATAGAATATGTTATTTATGTCATTGATTTCAGTTTCTGGAGATTCAGTGTAACCAAAAATTGCTAGCTGGACAATTTGTGGAAATTTTATTTCCTCATTAAAATAAGCCTAATTTTAAAGTAGGATAACTTTATTAGCTTCTCCTAAAATCAGAATTGCTTTATAATTCTTTCCATTTACTCAGTTTGGGCTTGGGGGCATACCTGCTGTGCTCAGGGCTTACTCCTGGTCCTATGCCCGGGGATCACTCCTGGCAGTGTTTGAGCAGCACACGGGGTTCAGGGGATCAAACCTAGGTATGATATTAGCAAGGAAAATTACCTACCTGCTATACTTACATTATGCCCCTAATTTTTATATTTTGAAGTAAATATCTTTATATTTTAAAGCAAACAGACCATCTTCCTGAGTATTGACACAAAATAAAAGATTTCTTATATCTTCCAGAACTTTCCACTGTTCCCAGCACCCCAGGTAGTTTGAAAGTCATCATTAGGTAGTCATGATGAGGCAATGCTGATTCGGCATTAAATATAGACAGGTTTCTAAGCTGGTTACACCCTCTGCTCAGACGTGATGAACTTTGTATTTTGACTCAGCAGCCTTATTTTCATCTTGTTCCTGATCTTCATCCTTCTCAGACAGCACTTTTACATCATACATAACTTCAGTTTGTTTGTTTTTTTTTATCACAGGGAAGTTTGCTTTGTCAAAAATAAATGAATGAATAAATAAGTAGGTGGTCTTTATTCAAATGAGACACAAAAGAGACATTTTCTGATGCTGAGTGTGCCAACACGTTGCAGATTTGCAGAATAACCAAGTGTGATCATATTGCAGATCAAAGGACTCAGGATGCTAAATATACTTCTGTGGTGTTACCTATTTTGTGCATCTTTGTCTACTAACTTGTGCATCTTGACCCAATTCTTTTATCTCATCTACAAATACATATAGAACTCACTTTCAGAATACACAATATAACATATACTAGGTGCTACCAAACAAAAATTATTTTCTGGATAATTAATTTTGATAATCTAAAGCCAATATTGTTAGAGCGTTGCTTAAAAGTCATTGAGTTTCAGGGGCTGGAGAAAGAGAACAGCTGATAGTAAGCTTGCACATAGCCATTAGAGCCATTAGCTATTTGGTTTCCAGCACTTCTAGAAGTGACTTTTTTTTTCATTCAAATAACTTGGGGATTCTTTTAAAATATGTATTTTCTGGATTGAGGGCTGATGGTTTTTGTTTCTAACAAACTCTCAGATGATGCCAATAGTGATTATATGGTACATGTACATGAATTTAACTCAAATAACAAGCATGAATCAATTATACACATATAAAATAATAATACTTCCTTTCAAAGGAATAAAGAAGTAAAAATCAAAAGGAAAGGTTAATGTTAAAAACCCATTGTTTGAGGGAACAAGTGTGTCTATATGGCTTATACCAGAAAATAGGAAAATAAATCTATGCCCTCAAGCACAATCACTTTGAAATCATAGTTGTTATGCATTAAAAAATTAGAAATGAAGTTTTATTACTACCCTATGTTATATAATAATGCAAACAAATAAGAGTTTCATTTACTTTCCTTACTTATTTCAAACTATATAAGCATTCAAATGAGATTTTGCTTTAATATTCAATTTATAAAATCTGTAAAGAGACATTTGCTAAATTGTCTACAAGGAAATGTTGGCATACCAAAAAAAATTAGAAGCAACCATAATACATAGAAAAATAAAATTAATGGAATATCCTAGAAATTTATACTGTAACTAATACAAAACTAAAATGGTCTTTAAAACTGTACTAAGTATGACTAAAATGTTGAAATAAAAAACCCATAAACACTTCCAAAATGATTTTCGCGGGAAGAAAACTACCAATCTGAAACGAAACTTGCCTGAATGTCAGGGAAGGCTGGAGGACTCGTTGAGAGTCCAGCGTTTAGGGCTCTTCCTTTGTGCTTGATCCACACAGGTTCTGACCACATATGGAAGGTCCTCTTAGTACGACCAGGAGGAATCCCTGAGCTCAGAGCCAGGAGAAAGCCCTCAGCATCACAGGGTATAGGCCAAAACAAAAAACAAACAAAAAATAAACTGAATGGGATTAAAAACACATTTCAGAAGAAAAGGCTAGTGAGTTAAATGTATAACAAATGTGATCTCAAAATGGAGCACTAATAAGGAAAAATATTTTAAAATATTACTAAATGATTAGTGAAACATGCAAGTTATTTTTCTCTTGGAAAGTGGCTCTTTCCAAGAAATTTAGTACTGCTGAAGCACACACATGCCAAGTTAAAGTAACACTTAAAATAGCTTCATAGTTCAGTTGTTAAAGCCAGTGACATTGAAAACTATAATCTTAGAAAGTAACTGAGAAAACAATGTATGTACACGTATGTACAAGAACAAACGTTGGAAAGATGATAGATTTCCTAAAAAGAAAAATGAGGTATAATGGAACTATAATGATGAATGGTAGATTTATTTTGTCTTAAATTCAAATACTTCTGTTCTGTGATAGGCGTTTTAAAGTAAGATATGCAAATTCAATTTGTTCAAATTTCAACTAAAGACCTTTGTTCTGTTTGTCACTAAGTCAGTTGCTGTTCTTGTAATCTACAACTTTACACTAGCAAACTACCCTGTGTATTTAGACCTGTTTGCTCAGTGTATTAAAGGTCAATTCTTCCTGGAATCAACTTAAGCTGTCTTAAGAATAACATTAGCTCTTCTGTCTCTGATCTTGGTTATATATTTCTTTTTTATTTCGTTGTTAATAAATGTTGTAGTTAGTATTTCTACAATTTGGTACAAAAATGTCATCCTCAAATGATTTCATAAGAAAAGACCTGAAGATGGTCCATGGTTATCCTATGATTTATGCTTTTGTGGACAATTGGGAGAATGTTGAACAGTTCCAGAGCAGGCCAGATGACATCGTAATTGTCACATATCCCAAATCAGGTAAGTTTTATGAGCCATCAAATTTTATATATGATTTTAATCTCTGTTTCCTGAAAACCAACTTACCTATAAATCAAAAATCATGTTAAAGAAAGTAAATATTTCTCTTTGCATAGACAAATATTTCAAGTGTGTTAAAATTGGCCTTTGGTGCATTTGATATACAGAGCAAAATTGCAGAATTTGGTTTGTAATTGAATATATTAAGATGAAAGATTTCCATCAAGTACATTTCCTTGATATTTGGGTGATGATTACAAACAATTTTGCCTTTTGTCACAGGTACCACTTGGGTTAGCGAAATTGTGGACATGGTTCTAAACGATGGTGATGTTGAAAAATCTAAGCGAGATTTCATCACTGCTAAAGTTCCAATGTTGGAAATGTCCCTCCCTGGATTAAGAACATCAGGTAATAATAACTTAACTGTGAATTACAATTTTGTAATATAGCTTATATAAAAATATATTTAATATATTTAAATTTAACATAATAGCATAATGAAATAAGTAACATTAATTCACATGACATCAGTTATTACATTTGTGATTTGCATTCAGTGGAAATGAAGTAGATTTAGTAAAATAGGATCCAAATTTGTGTAAGCAAAACAATGAAGGAATACAGAGAAACTGCATTTAGTTTATTGTGCCTTCATTTATAATTTATGTATCTTTACATAAAAGCACTACAAAAGATGAAAATATAGGTTAATAACATATGCTACAGTAAGAATATCAATAATTTTGGTACAAAACAATAAAAATATTACAATTATACTTACCAGTATAACTTGGACATACAGAAAATGTATTTGTTAATTACATTTCCTAAGCAGATATGACAAAACTATTGCTCACGAATCCTCATTTTGGAAGTAGAGAAAATGAGGTATAAAGATTGGAATAGTTTTAAATATTTTTTAATGAGTTTAATATAGACTTGGTATTTTAATCCAAGGAATTCAATCTCAAAATATATGCCTTATTTTTATATGACATTGCCTTTTTAGAACAGTCATGTCTATGACTTGTTCAAAATTAATCAGCATTATTTATTTTACAAAAATGTCTTGACATTTTGGTTGAGAAAATTGGAAAATTATAATACTTTTACATACCAAATTACAAATTCTCAGGTATAGAACAGTTAAAGAAGAACCCATCACCTCGTGTTGTGAAAACGCATCTACCAACTGATCTTCTTCCTAAATCTTTCTGGGAGAACAACTGCAAGGTACATTCTGTTCTGAAAGGCATTCTTTAAAAGTCACTTCATTCCTTTAATAACTCACCTTGTAAGTTATGGCCCAAATATTTTATTTATTTGCTACCATGCCTGGCAAGCTACCCGTGACATATTCAATATGCCAAACACAGTAACAACAACTCTCACAATGGAGATGTTAGTGGGCCCACTAGAGCAAATTGATGAACAATGGGAGTACAGTGCTACAGTGCTACATTGCTACTCATTAACATCCCAAATCCATAATTTACATGAAAGTTTACTTAACATGCTTAAATGAGCATGTTTCTAGAGTTCAAAATGTTTAATATATTCACATCATTATAGTTCCGTAGAGTGGTTTAATAATTTTTCTACCACCTATTAATTCTTCTTTCCCCTTCTCCCCTAAAAAACATGATCATTTTACTATATTCATAGTTCTGCATTTTCAAAATCTTTTGTAATTGAAACCTTATAATATATAAACTTTTCAGACTCAATTCTTTAATTTGGTAGCACACATTTAAGTTGTTCCCTGTTGCCCTCTGACTTGAGAAATAATTTCACAATCTGTGTGTGTGTATATATGTATATATTATATATACACATATATGTGTGCGTCATGTGTGTGTGTGTGTGTGTGTGTGTGTGTGTAGCACTGCAGCACTGTCCTCCCATTTTTCATCGATTTCCTAGAGTGGGCACCAGTAACTTCTCCATTGTGAGACTTGTTACGTTTTTGGCATATTGAATATGCCCAAGGTACCTTGCCGGGCTCACCGAGAGGGAGGGAGGAATCGAACCGGGGTCGCTGTATGTAAAGCAAACTCCCTGCCAGCTGCGCTATCACTCCAGCCCGTGTGTGTGTGTGTGTGTGTGTGTGTGTGTGTGTGTGTGTGCGCGCGCGCACATATATATGCATACATATATAGGGATCCCTTAAATATATATTTGAAATAGCATGTTTTATAATAGCATTAATACTATAATATTAGCTTACCATTCTTCTATACCAAACTCATCATCAAGAGGCCATTTATTAGTTCCTCTGAGGTCAACATTTTGGCTGATTTTTCTGTTTTTCTCGCTGTACTTTATGAGAAAAGATCTGATATCAAAGTATTTAATCCATTTTGAAATTAACCTCAGTGTATGATTGAGACAGGGGTGATTTTTTTCAGTTTTTCTTCTTGCCATAGGGATAATCATTTGTTACAGTATCATTTATTGAAGAAACTTTCCTTGTTCTACATAATTAACCTAGCCCATTTACCTTAAATTAACTGTACATATACCTGGATCCTTGCCTCTAAACTCTCAATTTTGCTTCAATCGTCTGAGTAGTCTTTATTTCAGTATTACACAGCTTTTGTTACTATAGCTAATAGTACTTTTCAATTCAGAAAATACAATGCCTCCTGTCTTTATTCTGTTTTCTCATAATTTCTCTGCCAAGTCTGATAGTATTATATTTCCATGTATGTTTTATATGCGAATAATGAGACTTAGCAAGAATATTCTTAGATTTGAGAGTAAGAGATGAACTCTTCCAACATGACCATTTCAAAGTGACTATCTTTTTATAAACCCACCACAGAAAATGAGAGTTTCAATGGATCTATTTCTTCAGTAACATTTGGTATTGTCAAAGTTCTACTCTTGTTTCTGGGGAGGGAGAGATAGCACAAAGGGTTTGGGTAGTTGTCTTGCGTGAGGCACCAGTGGATATGGCCCCCAAATAACTAAATAACAAATGTCCCAAATTTGTCATTTAAATGAGAATGCAGTGGTTCTTGTTTTTATTTTCATTTTTAAAAAATACGATATTGAGCATTTTTCATACTGTTATTTCTCTTTTAATAACTATAGCATTTGTTGTGAAACTCTGTTTCCACTTTTCCCGACTTTGTGTTTTCTCTATCTCTCCCTCCATCCCTATTTCTTCTCTCTCTCCCTCCCACTCTCTTTATCTCTCTCTCCTTTCTCTCTCTCTCCATCTACCTTTCTCATCCTTTCTTGATAAGAAGGGTCAGTCAGTCAGTCAAACTAAATCACAGAAAAAAACTTGACTGAAAAGAAACAAAAACCTTGACTTAAAAAAATAATAAGTAAAATGGTAATTTAACTAAATTGACAGTGTTTGAAAAGGCTGAGTATGACGCAGGAGTAGTCTCTACACACTTGAGTTGAAGGTTACTTGAGTTGAAGCTTCGAGTTTGATGCCTAGCATTGTCACACATGAATAGCGAGATCTGAGCAGCAACACTAATTCTTTGGGATCACCACAGAGTGTATGATTTTCAGAGTGATAAAATAATGGGTAGGGAGTTTGCCTTGCCCGTGACCGACTCGGGTTCAATTCCTCCCTCCCTCTCGGAGAGCCCGGAAAGCTACCTTGGGCGTATTCGATATGCCAAAATCAGTAACAAGTCTCATGATGGAGAAGTTACTGGTGCCCACTCGAGGAAATCGATGAACAATGGAAGGACAGTGCTACAGTGCTTAGTTTGATTGCTACACATATTTTGTAACTTGCTTACGAATTATTTTATTTTCTAAATTTGAATACCTTCCATTTGTTTGTCTTCATTCTCCCCCTTCAGATGATATATTTGGCTCGAAACGCCAAGGATGTTGCAGTATCATTTTACCATTTTGACTTAATGAATAATTTAGAACCCTTTCCTGGAACCTGGGGGGAGTATCTGGAGAAGTTCATGACTGGAAATGGTAGGAGTCCTTGTTCTAAAATTAATAAGTATCTTTATTCTTAACAATAATGTATATAATTATCAGTATTATTTTTCATTTCTAAAAATGTGTTTTAATTCAGTGACAAGATCACATTCAATTGAAATATATAAAAACATCATGTGAGTATCACTTATCACTTAATCACTTAATCCCCGTTATTCATCTATTTACTTGAGCAGGTGCAAGTAACGTCTCCATTCATCCCTGTTGCGTGCTAGCGTGGCCCAATGGTATCTGTTCATTCTAGGAACATGCAAAGCCTCAAATTGATCATTTAGGGTCTTGACAAAGAAGTCTGACCATCTTGTAGGTGGGCGTCCACGTGATCTTTTCATGTCCTGTGGAATCCAATCAGTAATGGCTCTAGTCCAGCGGTTGTCTGTAAACCTCATTACATGTCCAGCCCATCTGATTTTTGATGCCTTGGCAAATGAGACAGCGTCCCTGATTCCTGAGTGTTGACGAAGATCAGAACTCCGGATTCTATCTCTCATTTGAGTGAATCATGATATTCCAAGCATAGCTCTTTCGATTCCTCTTTGAGAGACCCGAATAGCGTTCTCATCCTGTTTTCGTAGGGCCCAGGTCTCTGAGGCATATGTTAATGCAGGAAGAACAGTGGAATCGAAGAGATGTGCTCGTAGCTGGAGGTTCTTTGTCCTCTTAGTTATTTCTTCAACGCTCTTGAAGGCATTCCAAGCCGCTCTCTTCCTCCTGAGCAACTCAGGTGCCAGGTCATTCATCATGTTGATTTCTCGACCTAGGTATATATAACTGTTGCATTCGGAGATGGTGGTTCCGTTGAGAGCGAATGGAGCGTCAGAAACAAGGCTGTTTCTCATAAACATTGTCTTCATAAGATTCAGCTGTAGTCCGACCTTTCCACATTCACGGTCAAAGTCGTTCAGCATTTGTGCTGCTTGGCTGATGTTTGGTGTTATTAGAACGATGTCATCAGTAAAGCAGAGGTGGTGTAGTTGCCGACCATCTATCTTCACTCCCATGCTTTCCCATTCCAGTCGTTGCATGATGTTCTCGAGGGTGGTACTGAAGAGTTTTGGTGAAATGGTATCACCCTGCCAAACCCCTCTCTTGACATGGATGATTACTTCTTTGTAGAATGGTGAGATCCTGGTAGTGAATCTGCAATAGAGCTCATGAAGGAACCTGATGTACTGAGTTTGTACGCCCTGATTGGCTAGGGCTTCCATGACTGCTTCTGTCCCAACAGAATCGAAGGCCTTCTTTAAATCAATGAACGTTAGACAGAGCGGCATCTTGAACTTCTGAGAAACCTCAATGAGCTTAGAAATCGTGTGGATATGGTCGATGGTACTGAATCCTTTGCGGAATCTGGCTTGTTCACATGGTTGTCCTTCATCTAGTGTTCTGCTAATCCTATTCAGGATGACTCTAGTGAACAGTTTGTAGATGACAGACAATAGGCAGATTGGGCAATAGTTGCCAATGTCGTGGATGTCTCCCTTCTTGTATAGTAGTACAGTCCTGCTGGTTTTCCATTGGGATGGAACCTTGCATGCAGACAGGTAGTGTGTGAAGAGTTGAGCCAGTGTATTGATGAGTACTGATGGTAAGTTCTTCAGGTGTTCAGGTCTGATCTTGTCTGGGCCAGGTGCTCTTTGTTTCTTTACCGACGAGATGGCATGTTGGATTTCGGAAGGGAGAACATTGGGAACGACATATCCATCATGTGGAATGTGGTATGTGGGCAAGTGGACATGGCTATTAAAGAGATCTGAGTAGAAGTCATGAATAATCTTCTCCATTGCCCTTCTGGAAGATGTGATAGATCCATCATGATGTCGAAGGGCAGTTATCTTGGTCTTGTAGTTGGTGAAGGACAGGCGGGCATTACGAATGCTTTTCCCAGCTTCTGCCGTCGGTGGTGTCGGTAGCCTTGTCAACACAAACTTAGCCATGAACATTGATTCATTCGAATGCCTAACAACCCGAATCCGAATCAGATGATTACACTTGAATAGATGTGACTCACTACCGGCAGTTTTTGTCTTTGTTGTCTATGCACCAACATCCAGTTATGGTGAAAGAGAAATTGAGAAGTTCTACATGGAGCTGGAGAAGTTATATAAAGAAGATCACACCTTCTACAAGATCATTGTCGGTGATTTTAATGCAAAGATAGGACCAAGAAGATCAGCCGATGAACTCCACATCGGGACCCATGGCCTAGAATGGAACGAACAGGGTGACAGACTGTCTGAGTTCATCATGTCAACCAAGACCTTCCATGGTAACTCACAGTTCCAAAAGACTGAATCTAAACGTTGGACATGGGAGTCTCCCGATGGACGGTTCCACAATGAAGTAGACCACATCATATTCAGTGGGCGGTTTTGCCTAACCGATGTTGCTGTTATCCCAAAATTCCAAACTGGATCAGACCACCATCTCCTTCATGCAAAATTCTACCTCACAGAATGAGGAGAAAAGAATGCAAAGTTTAAGAAGAGGACTCCAGAACGATCACCAACTGGGAGCTCTTTGGCTCTGTTGCGGCAACATGGGAAGAAGCCGTCGTTGACAACATTGATGAGGAATACGTTCGAATGATTCAGCACCTCCATGATTGTGCAAAGAATGCCAAGAGAGCGATAACCACAAAAAAACTGCCTTTCTTCGAACACTCGAACTTATTTGCCAACGTGGCTTGGCACATGCCTCAGGCAACCACAAGCGAACCTCCGAGCTGGCAAAACAATGCAGAAAAACCATCAAGGATGACCTCAAAAACAGGAGAGCAGCAGTGCTGGTAGATGCGGCAGAAGTTGGGAAAAGCATGTGATATACATAATTCAAATAGAATTTTTAAAATCATTGCAAATAATATTGCACGATAGAGTCTGGCAAACTTCCCATGTTGTACTCAATATGCCAAATACCAGTAACAATGATGGGTCTCATTCTCGTAATCCTGAAAGAGCATTGAAATTGCTCTTTTAAAATCTCAGGGCTAGGAAGAAGGAGACGTTACTGGTGCCTGCTCGAGAAAATCAACGAACAACAGGATGATCGTGATCGTGATTGCAAATATATTTTATTAATGGATAAACCTATTGTCATTCATTGGATTAACAAAAATAATTTTGAACTTTTTTCCATGTTACAAATACATTATTAGTTTCTGCTTATAGTACAAATACTTGTCAAAATCATTCAATATGATACACATATATTTACATTATTTGCATAAATATTTCATTTATAAACTTTGTAAAAGAAAGGTTTCCTTCCATGTGAGATTAGTGTTACCTACAGTAGATTAATGCATTTTTATTTATAATACAATTTGTATTTTATATATTTTTAATTGTGTTCAAATCACCTAATTATTTTTAAAATAGTAACCTTATTTAATTTGTTAAATTTCACAAAATGTTTTATAATTTGATTTATTATAATACAAATAAATATCTAATTTGATAAATACTTGTCAAAAATACCATTTTTCTGGTTTCAGTGGCTTATGGTTCCTGGTTTAATCATGTTAAGAGCTGGTGGAAAAAAAAAGAAGAGCATCCAATACTTTTCTTATTCTATGAAGATATGAAAGAGGTAAAATGGAACAAATTGTATCTGACTAACTCTGTCTCTTTCTTTTGTAGCAAAATGTTTGATGTTTGTTATTCAACCTCATCTGTAGAACCCAGATTTATTTATCTAGAAACCTTACCAGATTGTGCAAATATTGCTAAGATAATTCATAATTTTCTGATTATATAATTAATGGCAATCTTATTTCATTATCCTTTCAACTTTATGCTATACTTTGGCCACTTGACCATACTTTCCTTTTGAGATCCTAACCCTGACTTCCATTTGCTTCATTATTGCTCCCTTATTTGAGCAACAGCATAGTGGTAGGGCGTTTGCCTTGCATGCGGCTGGCCAAGCCAACCTGGGTTTGATCCCTCCACCCCTCTCAGAGAGCCCTGCAAGCTACCAAGAGTATCTCACCCGCGTGGCAAAGCCTGGCAAGCTACCCGTGACGTATTCAATATGCCAAACACAGTAACAATAGATCTCACAATGGAGACGTTACTGGGCCCATTCGAGCAAATTGATGAACAATAGAAGGACGGTGCTACAGTGCAGTGCTACCACAATCAGTGTTCAGTAATTTGCTATATTTTGATCATGAATTTCATGTCTACTGTTGACAAAATTTTGCAGGTGCTAATAACATTCATAAAACTTTATTTGTGCACAAACCTGAATCAATTTTATGTTTGCAATTAAAATTAACTTCGCATTTAACATTTTCAAAATTAAATTAATACTCCTACAATTGTAGGATGTAAACTTTGATCCACTCTTCATTAATCACATGATTTATCTGTTCAGTTTCAAAAGTTTCAAAGCAAATTGTTTTCAGCAAATTGTTTTCATTGATTTCCTCTCTTATATTCTGAACATCCTATTGATTCTTATACCCTTTCTACTGCTTCTTTCAAATGCATTTCCTTTTTTTCTATTCTTATTAGCTTTCTCCAAATTTAGGCAAATATAGATATTCATCTAGTCTCCTTATGGGGTATATTTCACACTGTAGCACTGTAGCACTCTCCTCCCATTGTTCATGATTTGCTTGCGTGGGCCCAGTAACATTGTGAGACTTGTTGTTAATGTGTCTGTCATATAGAATGTGTCACGGGTAGCTTGCCAGGCTCTCCAAGAGGGGCGGAGGATCAAACCCAGGTCGCCGGGTTCACTGAGTGCAAGGCAAGTGCCCTACCCACTGTGCTATCGCTTCAGCCCATACTATCATAATATTCTGACTCGGTATTTTGGTGCATTTTACTTAAATTGATCAGGCTCCACCCCCATTCTCTTCTTGCCTTTCCCTCCCACATACATAAATATGAAAATGTATAAAATGTTACTCTAATAAGAAGAACCTTGATAAGTGAATGAAGATTTTCAGATTATGATAGAATGTAGATTATTATCCTAGAACTGACACCCCTGGTACTTAAAGTTAGTGCTTACCACAAAAATAGGAATTCTTTTTGTTTGATTTTTTTTATAAGTAGCTACTATGTGGTAAGTGAATCTGCTTCAGATTTCAAAAAACCCTAAACACATCAGTCAGGACAGTACTCTAAACTGGAAATGAGCAACATCACAGGGTATGTCTGTGAATCTGTCCTGTGGTAAATGTTGATTCATATTGTTGAACAATTGGTTGCTTTAATGAATCATGACCTCAAATTTAAGTTGTATAATATATATCATATCACATGAAAAATGTATTTCTTGTTGTGATTATTTCTGAGAAATTCTCCAGACATTTCTTCTATCTTATCAAAAACTAGATTTTTCTGTTCTGTTCTGCTTTCCATCACAGTTACTTACCTCCCATAGAGAAGCTGGGCTAATCCTTACTTTTACCTCTTTATCCAGAATTTGAGACAATTAATGCCAATTTGCTGATAATACAAATCTGCAAAACAAAGCAGTTGTATAAACTACATTTTAGCTAGTGTTTGGTAATTCAGAGTTAAGTTACAAATTCTCTTAAGAAAGCAAATACATCCATCCTCTGTGCCAAATAATTGTATTCACTTCCTGGCCTTAAATCAAAACCACTCATATTTAGGAAAAGAGAAATTTTAGCTTTGGGATATAATCTCATCTCAGTAGAATGGGAAAAAATGTTGGCCTGGCATTAAAAACCTGCCATATATCATGCTGTGCTCCCATGTGACACTCTAGAAGCTAATTAGTTCCTTAATGAACCATAATACCTCCTTTCAATCAACTCTTATTTACTTAAATTCTGGTCGAATCAATCGCTGTAAACGTATCTGGATATTTTAAATCCCACTTTAATTTATTATGAGCATCACATAGACTGTCATTTCTGTCACACTGTCATTTAAGAAAATTTTAATAAAATAATCATCTCTGCAACTCTGTCATCACTGTCATCCTGTTGTTCATCAGTTTGCTCAAGTGGGCACCAGTAACGTCTCCATTCGTCCTGGCCCTGAGATTTTAGCAGCCTCTCTTTACTCATCCTTCCCAATGGGGCCACAATGGAGGCTCTTTCAGGGTCAGGGGAATGAGATCCATTATTGTTACTGTTTTTGGCACATCGATTATGCCATATGGAGCTTGCCAGGCTCTGCCGTGCAGGCAGGATACTCTCAGTAGCTTACCAGGTTTTCCGAGAGGGAGAACTAGACTAATAAAATAATAATAAAAATAATTATTTATCAAGAATAAAATTTAAAGAGAATTCTAATAACATACATCTGGTTTATGAGTATCTAGATAAGTCAATAAAACCAATAGAAAGAGATATTTATTAGAGGAATATGTTCAGTAAGAACCAGCAGTGCCTGTGTTACTTCTATTGGTCTATAGGCTATCATCATCATTAATACTTCAGTAATGTCCAAATTATTGTGCAAACACCTGAATCATTGACAAATCATGCTTTCAACTTGCCTATGCACCTAAGACAGACATTCCTCATCCCCACCAGTGGGATCGCCTTACCTAACCATATGCATGTGTCCGTGTGCACACAGACACAAAGTCAAAAGAAACATTAAATGTTATTCCCTCCAGGAAACAAAATTGACCTTGATGCCTTTGTGCCATCACTAGAGTTATTTCTTATTAATTATATCCAAGATAAATGAAATCCATACTTGTATTTTGTGAAAATATACTTGAACTTGTCTAAATCGGATCACAAATTAAACTTAAAAGATTTGTGATTTTTCTAAATAGAATGATGCATTTCAAATAATTTTCTTGTACTTTGAATATAAACTAAAATTACAAAAATTACAATACTCATTTTGATAAGTACACATTGTTTTTATCTTTTATGACCAATTAATGTGTAAACAGGAAATGCAAACTCAAAACTCATAACTAAACAAAAGGAATAAAAAGTAATACAACAAAATGTTATGAATGTTTATATTTTTTCATATTATATTAATAATTTACTTTTTCACAATCTGGGGGCATGTCTATTTACTGCTAGAATCCAAAGAAGGAAATTGAAAAGATTGTTAGATTTCTAGAGAAGAACTTGAATGATGAAATCTTGGATAAGATCATTCATCATACTTCATTTGAAAAGATGAAGGACAATCCACTGGTAAATTATACACATCTGCCAAGCACTGTGATGGACCATAGTAAATCCTCTTTCATGCGTAAAGGTAAATATTTTGATGAGTTGTTTCATTTTTTTTTCTTTTTTGTTTTTCTGGCCACACCCTGAGATGCTCAGGTGTAACTCCCAGCTCGGCATTCAGGAGGTGCTCAAGGGACCACAAGGAATGAAGGAAATTAAACTAGGGTCTGTTGCATTGCAAGACAAGCACCCTATCTGCTGTATTATCTCTCAAGCTCCAGGTTAAATTTCCTATTTAGCTGTCTTTTAAACTACCTGAATTACTATTTTTATTGTTATCTCTGCCAATTTCTTTATTCATCTTCAAAGTAAGACATTAAAACTACCTATCATAGAAGTTTCTTAATTGAATTAGAAATTATTAAGTGGAATAATGTATGAAAACTTTTATCTGAGTAACATATTTGATGCATATTTATCCAATCTATGATATGAGAGAAGTGTGTTTTTTCTTTTATTTTTCTTTTTAATTTTTATTAGTTGAAACACCATGAGGTACAGTTGTAGACTTACAAATTTTGTGTTTGGGTATCAGTTATACAATGATAGAGTACCCTTCCCTCTACCAGTGCCTATTCTCCACCTCCAATGCTCCCAGCATCTCTCCCAAACCCACACCCCCTATCCCACCTCACCCCTGTGGCAGGGCATTCTCTTTTGCTATCTCTCTCCTTTTGGGTGCTGTGGTTTGCAAAAGAGTCATTGACTGGCAATCATGTCTGGTCTATAGTGTACTTTCAGCATGCATCTCTCATCCGGAGAGGATCCTCCTAACACCCTTTACTCCCGTCTCTATCTGATCTGCCTTCTCCACCCAGAAGTGTGTTTTTTCAATTACCAGACATTTCAAGTTTTTATTTCTACATTTTCAATATTTGTATAAGACAGCATTGGTTTTCTTTTTTCCCTAGTGATATATATCACCCAATAGAGTACTGTCATGTTTAAGGACACAATATTGAAACTGGGGATAATGCTCAGTGGTAGGATGTATTTTATCCCCAGTGCGAGATCCAGCACCTAAATAAGTGTTCTGCCTTATTTAAAAATCAATGAACATTTTAAGAATGATTCACCAAGATAAAGGATTTGTTTTTATCATATATAAAATGTTTGCACTTAACTATTACAATCTGAATCATAGGAAATACAGAATCTAAATTTAACTTAGAATTAATACAGTGGAGAATCACTGATGAAACAGAACTTTAAACTGAAGAAAATTTTGTATGTTAAAGTTTCTTGTATATGATTTGTGTAAAAATGTTTTAATAATAAATGGAAAAATTATTACATTAAAAAATTCAATATTTTTTATAGCTTGGGTTACTGTGACAGTTAGAGTATTTTTCTTGCACACAGTCAATCTAGGTTTAATCCTCAGCAACTATACGGTCACCCAGCACCACATAAATGGTCCCACGAGTCTGGTCAGAAGAGATACCTAAATGCAGAGACAGGAGTAAGTCCTAAGCACTATAGGGTGTGGCCAAAATCAAAAATAAAATAATTCATTTTTTCATATATTTCTTATTTTTTTATTTTTAGGGATTTCAGGTGACTGGAAGAATTTCTTCACAGTGGCTCAAAATGAAAAATTTGATATTATTTATAAGAAGGAAATGTCTGAAACTACACTTCAGTTCCGCACAGAGATTTAGAGAGTCCTAGTCACAAATGAAGAACAACCAATAATATTTTAAAGAAGGATAGTTCTGACTGCTCTAGGTTGCCAAATAGTTTAATGAATCTGAAAATGTGTTTCAAAGTCTATATTTTAGTACCATTAATGAAACAATTTTTACTTTCCATAGTTTTCATTTTTGAAAATAAATCTCTGTAACTAAATATTTTTTAATAATGTAAAATTTCATGAAAACAACATGAAAGTGCCAAAGGAACTCATACCCTTCCTCCTTAACAACATCCTATCAACAGAGTCTTATTTAGACAGAGACAGTTTGGGTAAAGCTATATTATAAAAAAAAACCACTTTGTAAGAGCATGAAAGGCACATTCACCACCTTAGAGATTAGCTCCTGACTAGACATGAGAAATGTACACTCATCTTTTTCACCTCTAAAGAAGCCCAGAATACCTCCAACTCCCCCCGCCCCGCCACACACACACACACACACACACACACACACACACACACACACACCATTCTCTTCCCTCAGATTTCTCTAAATAAAACTATTGCACTTCAGTATTTGTCTCCTCCTGAAATTATTTCTTCAAATTATGGTGATATTCTTAGAAAACCTGGGCAGCATTTAGGAGTAAACTTTCTTTTCTTGCACAGAACAATTCTTCAATTCAGCTTAAGTCCACAGGGCCCAATAACTTGGATGATGGTAAGCAGTTCACACTCTCTACAGATTAAATGGATTTCAGGCACAGCTAAAAAACTCTCTTGTAGGGCCAGTGGCATGCTAGTTTCCATGCTGCGTAGGCAAATGCAGTGGATTTTAGCATTCAAAACCATCCCAAGGACTTCCCTACGTGACTGAGATGCGTGGAGCAAGAGACAGAAAACCCTCTTTCTCAAGGCACCTTCCTTGCTCCTTACATCACCTAAATCACATGCAACACTTGAAATAGTCAGGAGTCAGGTTCAAACATAATTTGAAGTCTACGCTGGACCTTATTTGAGATGGAATTGAGGAATTGAGGCCTAAATTCTTGGTGGAGCACACTTCCAACTGCAATCACAACAATTACATTGATTTTTGAAATGTGGTTCAATTTTGAATTGCAGTGATGATACTATTTGTCCATAGCACATAATGCATTTTACACAATGTTGGATTTACGTTGATAATATTTCACTGAGAGCCTGGCAAGCTACCAAGAGTATCTTGCCCGCACAGCAGAGCCTAGCAAGCTACCCGTGGCATACTCAATATGCCAAAAAACAGCAACAGTGACGGGCCTCATTCCCCTGACCCTGAAAGAGCTCCCAATACACCATTGGGCTACACTAACATGCGACAGGGCTGAATGGAGACATTACTGGGACTCGCTTAAGCAAATCGAAGAACAATGGGATGACAGTGATACAGTGATATTGTGAATATTTCACTGAAAATTTTCCTAATTTTATGAGAGATTCTGATTTTCTGCCTGAGCACTGTTTTTTTTTTGTTTTGTGTTTATGATGATTTTGCCTTCTTAGGATAATTTAAGGTGTGTTATTACAACTAACATTTTCTGTAACAAGAAATACAGACATAAGACTAGTTGTTCACTTGTGAACAACTGATCTAAGGCTCTGGGTCCAGTAGCTGAGCAGCACAAAGAGATTAGACATTAAAGGATCTGAGGAAGGATCTGACATTTATTCCACCACACACAGTCTTGGGGATAACATTGAACATCACTTGCCTCCAACAGTCAGATGCTAAAATAATGCTCACATTTCCAGGATCTCATTGAGCATGTAGTCACATGGAGAGTGTTTTTAGTGCTGTTGAGACAGTTTCCTCCATCTTTCTCTGGGGTCAGCAGCCTCTCAGCATCCCTGGGCTCTCTGGGTTCATTAAAAGCATCCGAGTTAATTCTGCCATGATTCCACAGTCTTCAAGAATGCTCAGAGGCAAGGAAACAAAGTTGGCACAATGCAAAGGTTTCCCTGCATGCTATCTCCAAAGCTCTGCAGTTTGCCTCTGCCGTCATCACAGAAAGACACTCCTTCAAGAGGCCAAGCATTTACTTATTCCAGGTCTATGGTCACCCATAACGTAATGAAAAATCTAACACATCTTCATTCTTCCTACAGCAAATAATTAATTGGAAGTTTACTGGAATTCACCAGTTGAACCAAAGAAGCTCAGTGATATTTTCTCTGGGAGGTCACCAGTTATTGACTGTAGCACGGTAGCACTGTCCTCCCATTGTTCATCGATTTGCTCGAGCAGGTCCAGCAACGTCTCCATCGTGAGACTTGTTGATACTGTGCTTGGCATATCGAATACAACACAGGTAGCTTGCCAGGCTTTGCCGTTCGAATGAGATACTAATTCACTTGATCACTTGACATCCTGTTACTCATTGATTTGTTCGAACGGGCGCCACTAACAACTCCATTCATCCCTGTCGTGTGTTAATGTAGCCCAATGGCGTATGCTCATTATAGGAACATGAACAGCTTCAGGGTCTTGACGAAGAAGTCTGACCATCTCATAGGTGGGCGGCCAAGCGATCTTTTGATGTCCCGTGAAATCCAGTTGGTAATGGCTCTAGTCCAGCAGTCGTCTCCAAATCTCATTACGTGTCCAACCCATCTGATTTTCTATGCCTTGGCAAATGAGACAGTGTCCCTGATTCTTGACCATCGATGAAGGTTGGAACTCTGAATTCTTTCTCTAATTTGAGTGAAATGTGATACTTCAAGCATAGCTCTTTCGATTCCTCTTTGAGAAACCCGAATAGCATTCTCATCCAGTTTTCATAGGGCTCAGGTCTCTGAGGTGTATGTTAATGCAGGAACAACAGTGGAATCGAAGAGATGTGCCCAGAGTCGGAAGTTCTTCGTCCTCTTAGCTATTTCTTTGATGCTCTTGAAGGTGTCCCAAGCCTCTCTCTTCCTCCTGTACATCTCAGGTGCCAGGTCATTCATCATGTTGACTTCTCGACTTAGGTACACATAACTGTTGCATTCAGAAATGTTTGTCCCATTGAGAGCAAATGGAACATCAGGAACAAGACCATTTCTCATAAATATTGCCTTTGTAATATTCAGCTGGAGTCTAACATTTCCACACTCAGTCGGGCAGCATTTGTGCCACTTGGCTAACGCTTGGTGTTATTAGAATGATGTCATCAGTGAAGCAGAGGTGGTGTAGTTGCCGACCATCTATCTTCACTCCCATTCCTTCCCATTCCAGTCGTCACATGACTTTCTCAAGGGTAGCACTGAAAGTTTCAGTGAAAAGTTATCACCCTGTTTTGATGTCAATGATCACCTCCCTGTAGAATGGTGAGATCCTGGTAGTGAATATGCAATACAGTTCACGAAGAATCCTGATGTATTGAATTTGAACGCCCTGTTTGACTAGGGCCTCGATGACCACTTCAGTCTCAATAGAATCAAGGACCTGCTTTAAATCAATGAACGTTAGACAGAGCGGCATCTTGAACTCCCGAGAATCCTCAATGAGCTTGGTTATCGTGTGGATATGGTTTATCATGCTGAATCCTTTTTGAAAACCAGCTTGCTTGCATGGGTTTCATTCATCTAGAGTTCTGCCAATCCTATCCAGGACAACTCAAGTGAACAGCTTGTAGACGACAGACAACAGGCAGATTGGGTGATAGTTGCCAATGTCGTGGATTTCTCCCTTCTTGTACAGTAGTACAGTCCTGCTGGTTTTCCATTTGGACGGAACCTTGCATTCAGACAGGTATCATGTGAAGAGTTGAACCAGTGTATTGATGAGTATTGATGGCAGATTCTTCAGGTGTCCGTGTCTGACCTTGTCTGGGCTGGGTGCTCTTAGCTTATTTACTGACGAAAGGGAGTGTTGGATTTTGGGAGGGAGAACACTGGGAATGACATATCCATCCTGTGGAATTTGATATGTGAGCAGGTGGACGTGGCTATCAAAGAGATCCGAGTAGAAGTCATGGATAATCTTTTCCATTGCTCTTCTGGAAGATGTGATAGATACATCAGGACGTCAGAGGGCAGTCATTTTAGTCTTGCAGTTGGCGAAGGACATGTGGGCATTGCGATGCTTTTGCCACCTTCTGCCACATCTACCAGCAGTGCTGCTCTTCTCTCTTTGAGGTCTTCATTTATCGCTTCTCTGCACTGCTTTGCGAGCTCAGACTTTTTCTTGCAGTTGCCTGAGGAATGTGCCAAGCCACGTTGGTGAATGAGCTTGAGAGTTTTCAAAGACAGGCATTTTGTTGTTGTTGTTGTTGTTTTGTGGCTATCTCTCTCTCTCAACGTTCTTTGCACAATCATGGAGGTGCTGAACCAGTCGCTCGTATTCTTTGTTAATGTTGTCAATGACGGCATCTTCCCATGTTCCCGCAATAGTTCCAAAGAGCTCCCAGTTGGTGGTCCTTCTAGAAGTTCTCTTCTTAAACTTTGAAGCCCTTTCTCCCCACTCTGTGAAGTAGAATTTTGCACTAAGGAAATGGTGGTCCAATCCTGTTTGGAATTTTGGAACAACAGCAACATCAGTCAGGCAAGACCATCAATTGAATATGATGTGGTCAATTTTTTTGTGGAACAGTCCACCAGGAGACTCCCATGTCCAATGTTTAGTTTCAGCCTTCTGGAATTATGAGTTACCATGGATGGTCTTGGTCAACATGATGAATTCAGACACTCTCTCACCGTGTTCGTTCCATTCTAGATCATGGGTCCCAATATGGAGTTCTTCGACTGATCTTATCAGTCCTATCTTTGCATTAAATCACCAATAACAATCTTGTAGAAGTTGTGGTCTTCTTTATAGAACTTCTCCAGCTCCATGTAGAACTTCTCAATTTCTCCTTCATCATAATTGGATGTTGTGCACAGACAATGAAGATAGAAACTGCCGGCAGTGAGCCACATCTATTCAAGTGTATTTGTCCGATTTGGGATTTTAGGCATTCGTGTAAATCAATGTTTATGGCCAAGTTCATGTTGACAAGGACACCAACATCACCGACACCTCTTTTATCGCATGTTCCGAGGAACAGATCTTCCCCAGTGTCGAAAATGGCATGATGTGATTGATGCCTTCTCATCTCGGTCAGTCCAATGATGTCATGCTTACACCATCAGGTCCTCAATGGATACATCAGATGCCAGCATATGTGCATTGAAAGTCCTGACAGTAATTTTCTCCTTCGTTTTGGCAGCCTAGATCGGCCCTGAGATTTTATCAGCCTCTCCCTCCTCATCCTTCTTAACACTGCCATATTGGTGGCTCTTTCAGGGTCAGGGCAATGAGGCCCATTGTGTTTACTTGTTTTGGCATATTGGAATACACCACGAATAGCTTCCAGGCTGTGCCGTGCAGGCAAGACACTCTCGGTAGATTGTCAGGCTCAATAAAAGGGATAGAGTCTTTTAGGGAGGCCTCTAATCATCCTTGCAGGT